TGCAGGGATGCACATACCACAGTTTGAGAACTCCTGGTGTAGCCCTTTCTGTACTCTTTCATAAGGCCAGGGTTAAACAGAGGCTTCATCCTAAGTACTTGCTTAAGATTGTTTTGAAATATGATGATAATCAGTATTAGTTTTTTCATCTCTTGGTTGTTTTCTGCATGCCTCATTCTTCATTGGCCATAGCAAAAGTTCTTTCTTTGGTGGTTAGGGTTTTTTTTTCTCAGCAGAACTAATTTGATTACAACATTACTGAGACTATTTGCGGCATTTGCAAAACAAATGAGATGAAAAGCATAACTTTGCAGAACTTGTTTAGTTAGTTTAGATGGGTACATACATACCTGCTTTGTTTTTGTAAAAAAGAGGGTCTGCTTGATTCCATTTGACACTAGCCCATGTGACTATAAACATTATCTTTTGAGATTGAGAGTAAGCATGTGAAGTTCAGGCCACACTCTTACCACTCTGATTTGATTTAGGCCCATGGATCAGATGCAAACATTAGAATATCAATCTTTCAGTGCAGGGATGGGCAAAATATGGCCTGCGGGCTGGATATAGCCCTCCAGTCCTTTCTATCTGGCCTGTGGGGCCCCTAAAAAGTTTAGAAAATTAATTTCTATCTGCCCCTGGCTGCCTGTCAAAGATGACACAGTGCCAGTGGCAGCAGGACCCAGGAGGAGCCAGTAGCAGGACCCAGCAGTGGCAGCAGCAAGGCCTGACTGGCCCTGCCCCAACCCCCAGCGGGAAGGTTCTGCTTAGCAGAGGCTTCTGGCCTGGGACCTTGTGGGTGTTCCCTCTCCCTCCCTCTGTCCCAGGGAAACTGGGGTAAGAATGGGTGGAGGGGGTGTGTGGGTGGGGGGGGGGGGGGGCCTGGAATTGCCAGCATAGCAGCCGGCACCAAGCACTTCCTGGTTGGCTTCTGCTATGCTGTGGAGTCCTGGCCATGCAACTGGGAACTGTGCACTGCCAGCTGGGAACTGCAAGGGTCTGGCGGGCCAGACTGGGCTGGGCTGGCTCCTGCTGTGTCCTGCGGTGCCAGCCATGCAGCTGGGAACTGTGTGCTGCCAGAGCAGTGGGTGGGCAGTGGGAGGGAGAGTGGTGATGGCAGGCAGGGAAGGAAGTGAAGTGGCAGGGGAAGGGTAGCAGTGGCAGGCAGGCAGGAGCACAGTGCCCCAGGGGCAGGGCTGGCAGAAGCAGGAGTCATTTGGGAACAGCAGGTGCTGGGCTGGCTCCTGTTTATAGTCTGTGGTGCTGGCCATGCAGCCGGGAACCATGTGCTGCCGGAGCGGCGGGTGGCCAAGCAGGTAGAGGGTGTCCTCATCCCCAAACTCCATGCCCATACCCCCACACTTATCTGGCCCCCCACAAACCCCACACACACATCTATATACATACCCACACCCTCCTGCATACCCCACATACACACACATGCGCGCGCACACACAGCCCCTCACAAACCATGTACCCACC